AATAATACAAGGTGTGTGCCAGATAAACCACGTCCTTTCAATATGAGAGACTTGATTACATCTCAGATGGAAGGTGCAGGATTTCACTCTCAGCAGAAACATTTTGGTTTTATTTTATTTTATTGCTTCATTATGTCCCCTGCAGCTCTTGTCCAACCTCCCCTGCAGAGGGTGCTAGTCTATAATAGGGATGTAAGTACCCTTTTATACAGCTGGATTTCTTTCCATTTCTGTCAATTTTCGTTCAATTGTGCGCATGATAAACTGATTACTCTCGCAATAAACTCTCAAGCCTTTATTCTGAATTCCTGTATCAGTGGAACATGGGATAAAAGAATGAGTCATTTAATTAAATCTGCATTGTGAACCTCTGAAACGTCTGATTCAAGGTAGGAGTTGGTTTTTGCCTTTTATATTGGCTGCGCTGTGTAAAGAAGACATTTAGAGATCCTTTGGAACCAAACTCTAAAAGCTCGTCAGCCCTGAGTGTCCAGACTCCTCTTAATTGAACTGATTGGTCAATAGGTTACAGGTGTTCCTGTAAGACTAACTGGATCAATACTCTCTATTGACTGGAGTTAGAGACCACTGCTCTGGTTTTTGATTAACGTACAAATCAAACACTCGTTTCCCCCAGTTTAGCTCTAGTTGTGCGAGAGTAACACAAATTAAGTCATTAACAGTTATTATGAAGTATGGTAAACCCTCACACACAGTGCAAAAACCAGTATGTACCTGCCACAGGCGCAGTAGGATGAGCAAAATATTGTTGGAATTGAAGTAGTTTGAGCAGGGAGCTGCGTCAGCGTGCATAGGCAGCAAAGGAACAAGTAAGGGCCTATTCCAGGCTGAAAAGAGAAGAAAAAAAATGCAACGTTTGGGCTGTGGAGCCTTCTGCGGGTGTCAATGTTGTGCCTATATGGTGTGATATTGCCTATATTGTTGGAACCATATGTGCAACACAACACTTCCACACGCGCGTGCATGTGTGTGCGTGTGCCACTTGACCAGCGTGGGTGACAAAATGCAAAGACGCACATTCCATGAAGGAAACTTTCACTTTTCTATTCCTGTACTGTGCTGTTCACTTGTTTTCCATGACAGTAGGCCAAATATGTGCTAAATGTGGCTCCCTGCTCTTAATGTCTTACAGTAATACAATCCACACAGATGTGAAACTGTTGGCACCAAGTGTTGTTGCCAAGGAAGCATATTGTCTTTTTACCCTCCACCTGTTCTATTTCCATGCTTGCGGTTGTATGAAAGATTTCCTCCCATTCATTTTTACCCTGAGAGGAAAACTTCCTTCTTCTGCTGCTGTAACCTCTGGGCGTGGGTGTAGGTGGGAGAGGTATCGTGACTTTAAGAGTTACTGAAACAGCGCTGGTGCACCTGTCCCGGCAGGATAGGGACCCGCCATCGGAATCTCTGGGATTCCTCTTGGTGGCTCAGTCTGCATTGAGAGCTGATGAGGTAACGGGGAGTAAAGGCTCTGATGTTAACTTTATTTTGTTTAAAGATAGTAAGGTGAGTACCTAGACAGGTAGGAGGATGAGAGAGATTTATTCATAGAATAATGATTTGGATAGAAGCAATGACTCAGAAGTTCACACATTCATCCATTTTCTAACTGTTTTATCCAGTACAGGGTTGCAGGGGGGCTGGAGTCTATACCTCCCCCGGCAAGCAATGGGAGCAAGGCTTTACAAGCTACAGCTTCCAACCCTCCTTAGAATATCTACCGATCTCCTGCAGCTGCAGAGCTGAACATTATTCGAAGGTGTCAAGTCAGTGAATTCTTTCATAGGTACATCCTAGATGGGACACCTGGGCCAGTTCTCCCAGAAGCCAATTCACCTGCTGGCACGTCTTTGGACTGAAGGAGGAAATTGAGGCACCCAGAAGAATCCCATGTGAACATGGGGAGAACATGCAAACTCCACACAGATACCACTCCAGGAGTTGATCCCCGGGCCCCAGCACTGCGAGGCAGCAATGCTAACCACTGCTTCACAACTCTCAAAAGTTTCATGGAAAAAAAAAATTCATTCATGAGTAGTGAAACTATAAATTGCAGCTTTTTCTTTCATGGGCACCAAGGAAAACACAGAAGAGCTGACACTGAGCTGGTTTTAGGGGCGCGCGATTCCCATCTGCTTCTCTGGAAGACAAACCCTGGCCAGCGTGCACCCTGATTCTGCAATCCGATACCATCGAGCCCCAGAAACCCAATCCCTCTTGCAGCAGGTAGCAGCAAGCCCAGATTCAGAGTTTATGGACTGTCTTCTTCTGAGTTCCTAGGCTTTCAAGTTCCAACAGGCCATAAGATGTTGTTGCTGTTTTTGCTGGAGCCCTGCCTGCCATCAGGGCCTACGTGCTAACGAAGAGATGGGATCTGGATGGCAAGGGATGTCCTCCACGCTGTTGACAATTGCTTATGCTGTTGAAATCCAGTTGTAGCAGACAAGCCGAGTCCCAGTTGTGCATAATTTGCTTTGCACATGATTTCTATGTAGGCGGGTTTCATTATTACAGTTTTCAATGGATTGGCTTTCTCCCCTGCTGCTGTTACCAGGTGACATTGATCTAACCTCCCTGTGCTTGTGCAAATGAGCGCCCTCATTTAGATCAAGCCTGGCGCCCCAGCATTTGCTGGCTGATCCCCTTCATTGAACAGTTTACCAGATTGATCAGTTCAGTTCAGTCACCTGCACGAGTGCAATGAAATGCTTATTTGCATGTGTGCTCCGATACGAAGACATTTAAGGAGACACCGACAGCCTAAACCCAGAACAGCAGCAGCAATAACCAGTTAAATAACACACATCTTAGAGAAACAAAACACATCAGTGTGAGCCAGTGGTAGGGGTAGAGCTCAGTAATCTGACATCTTGAGGGAAGAAACTGTCTCTGAATCTGGACAATCGTGCTTTTATGCTCCTATAACGCTTCCCAGAGGGAAGGAAGGAGAAAAGTGAGGAACCAGGATGACTGGTGTCCTTAACAATACTTTCAGCCTTCCTGAGGCAGCAAGTAGAAAAAATGTCTGAAACAGAGGGGAGCTGTACTCCAACTCTCCTCTATTTCAGACCGTGTGATTGGGCTCCTACTCCTTTAGGAAGCTGCGATTTCCAATTTCTCTTTGATTACGTACCAGTCTCTCATCTCAAGATGTCTAGTTTAAAAGTGCATGTTACCCTCCAGGCGACAATCACAAAGCAGAGGATAATAACCATGAGACGTTGGAGGGCCGCTGAGCTTGCAGGGACAGGCAGGCAGGCAGGTGAGAGCCGTCTGCCCCAGCGTGGGAATGAAGGGAAAGCCACAGGCAGAGAGCTGTGGGACGGGCTTGCAGTGGGTTACAACAAGTTGTGGCCGCAGCCCAAGCTGTTTGCCTTGATCAGACCTCCTCCCGGAGTGAGAATTAAAGGCCCCAGCCCCCTGTCTCCCACGAGCGATAAAGTTGCAGTAGGGAGGGTTGCCTTCCTGGTTCACAATCCAGGAACGTGGGGGCGTGAGGGACCTGGGCGTTTGCCCATTGGGGGTGAAAAGCTTGGAAGTTGCACAGGGACTTGTAACCCCTCCCCTGAATTTAGGTCAATGCCTGCATCATGGGGCAGTATGACGGCGCAGTGGTCAGCATTCCTGCCTCGCAGCGCTGGGGCCCTGGGTTCAATTCCTGGGGTGCTGTCTGTGTGTGTGGAGTCTGCATGATCTCTGTATTCATGTGAGTTTCTTCTGGGTGCTCCGGTTTCCTCCCACAGGTCCAAGACATGCTGGTCGGCTAATCTGCGTCTGGGAAAACTGGCCCTAGCACGAGTGTCTGTGTGTGCCCTGGTGTGGACTGCTGTGCCCTCCAGTGCGAACCCAAACCCTGTGCCTGAATGTGCCAGGAGAGGCTTCACCTCCCCTGTGACTGACTTGGATGAAGTCATTAGAAAATGACTGGATGCTTTGAAGAGTTGCAAAAGAGAAACTAGGACAAAACCACAGGCTTTGTTTTGGAATTCCTGTCTCTTCTTTAGAACCGAGGGTCTGGAATCAAGGGCGTGTTTTTCAGTGACGTGTTGAGTAGAAACTAGCCTGAACAGGTTGGCCTAAGATTTTAATAGAATAACCATTTACCCAAAAGCCCATTCCAGAACCAGCTTTTATTAAAAATAATTCCTATATAAACATTTCATGAAGATGTATGAATGACTAATTTCTGGAGTTAAAGTGTTCGCTAGCACTTTCTAAAAGTCCTTTTTCTGTTATATGATGGTGTGGCTACGTACGCTGACTGCTGTCCCAGTCGCAATCGCTACACTCCTTTTTTTCAATTATTTTTTATTAAACGTATAAAGAATTTACAAATACAACTACAACCAAGGGACCAGAAACAGGTACAAGAGAAAAAAACACAGACAGAAAAAAACATTTAACCGTCAGAGGTAATGAAGTAAATTATGCGATCAAATTGTATTTTATATATATATCATATGTTTTCCTTGCTTTTATTATGTCTCAATTTTTTTAGAGAATTTGAATAGTGTTTCAACTCCACCTCAAAAGTTCCATAAAAGGGGAGTATTATTAGACCATTTTGATTTATGAGTGTGACATTTACAATCGCTACATTCCTTTTTTATTTTTTTGCTTTTATTAAATGTGTAAAGAATTTACAAATACAAATACAACTAGAGGAGCAGAAACCAGTACAGGAGAAAAAAGACACAATCGGAAAAAACTAACTGCCAGAGATAATGAAGTAAATTATATAGCCAAATTATGTTTTACATATAACAAATGTTAACTTGCTTTTGCATTTTTCACATTTTTACAAAAAATAAAATAAATGTTTCGACTCCAATACTAAAATAAAAGACTAAAAAACAAAGTATTATCGGACCATTTTAATTTATAAATGTTAGCTTTACCCAGAATTACTAATTTGATAAAAATAAATGCTTTCCCCCCCAAAAAAAAATCCTTATTACAACAAAATATCAAAATCTTTAAATGTAAAAAACGCCTTTAAATGCCTACAAACAAAACTCTGCAAATCTGTCTAAAATAACTTCACACAAAAAAAAAGACAATTCTTCCAGCTCGTGCTTAGATTTAGGAAGTGCTATTTTAGCGGGATAAAACTTACGAACAATTTTCAACAATAGCTTTAACCTTATTTGTATTATAACATCTATCAGGAGTTGTCCAACCTAATTTCCAAATTATTTTTTCTAACATTGCATTCGAAGAAAATGAACAAGGAGGGATAAGATGGGGTTTACAAAGATTCCTTATGTACGTGTTGTTATCTTTCTAATCCTTTTCCACACCATCCATGAAAAAAACACAATTATAAAACCATGAAGGAAATCAGTCCTTCTGTATAAAATAAAAATCAGCACTCATTTTTAACAAAAAAAAAACACTTTTCCTTCAACAACACTTCGAATACCTCTGGCATCATTTTAAAAAATAAAGATGAACAACTCTATCATCTACAATCGCCACTTTCCTTCCTGGGACGCAGCCCCGTTTGTGACGTCACACAACCGCTGCCGAACTTCACCGGGATTCCCTGCGCGGCGCCTGGGGCTTCTGGCTGTCGAGGGCTTCCCCTGCACCCTGCGAACCGACTCCGGCCTGAAACTCCGTCATCACCGGCCTGCAGCGGTTGCCTCACCGGTTTCACTCATTGCCGCCGGCTAGGCAGGAGCTAGGAAAGCGAAACAGCGCGGCGGGTGAGGAAATAAATCCTCCCCCTCCCAGCTCGTGGGCATCCCTAGAAAACTAGGAACAGGAAGCAGGTCGGAGAGCCGTAGTTCTGCAGCTCGAGCTGGGAATGCGACTTGCGCAGGGGTTGTTTTTGTGTTTTGTTTTTTTTCTGCGGTGGCGACCGTGTTGTTGTTGCACCGACGGTGACAGGTTTGTGAATGTGCTGGCGCTGGCGTCGTCTTGGCGACCCCGCAGCCCGCCGTTCGCGCCAGCACAGCGTTTAGAAGTTTGAACGTGACCCCCCGACATCGCTGATCTGGAGCCAGACGACAAGCGCGTCGCTGCGCTTGGCGGACATGACAGCGATGTGCGCTCGCTTTGCTCTCGCGCCCTCGCCACAGTACAACCGCGTTTCGAGTTCCGTGTTCGTCGTCCTGACGTCACAGCGCCTGCTCTGCACTTAGCTGCAGGTTTGGCTGTGAGTTTGTATCCAGTAACTATATGTCCAGCAGCCTGCAACAGTACGGAAGCCTCTTAGCCCCTCGTGTTTGAACGCGGTAATTACTTCGTCAAAACTACTGCCGCATATATTAACACTGCAATATATATATTGTAACGCTACGGGGGTTCAGGCAGGCGCCCTTGCCGCATAAGGTCGGTCCCCCACCGTCGGGGTCTCGAACCCGGGACTCCCGCGTCACTCAGCAGGGACCCAGCCCGGTGAGTTAAAGAGAGATCTCTTCACAGCCCAGGGGCTGTGGTCCTGCTATCACAGGGAAGGGCAGCGACGTCACCGCTCTGGTAAGCCGGCTCTTACACACCCCGTTGGCCGTATGCGTTACACTATATACACAACAGTATTATCGCACGCAAAGCAGCATTGTCATTAACAAGAGAACGGGTAAACATTTACTCCCTGCTGAAAGGAAAAAAGACGACGTTTGGCCGTGGAGCCTTCGGGTGCGACACCTGCTCGAACTTTATTAACACAAGAACGCGGTCACTCTCCTCTTTGTGGAGTTTCATTACTATAAAGGAGCACGTGTACCGTCTGTTGTGTACAGGGTGTATGACTGCCATTGAGTATTCCTGGGTTTAGCGCAGAAAAGACAGGGCTGTGCTCGATGCTCTGTGAAACTGCAGAAACGTGGAAACGGCGCGGCTTAATCTTTCTAACAGAACAGAATACACTTACGACTTATACCTACCGTCGGTTTACTGTTACTGTTGGGCGAGCGGTGAATATGTAAGCATCAAAACCCCCAGAGGTTTTCAGCCTGGGCTTACATCACACACGTTTGAATTTGCAATTACACAACCGAAGGGATGACTTCTGTGTGGGTTTACACAGACATGAACGCAAGGAAACGCGGGAATGCGAAACAAAACCACAAGCAATCCCGAGACGGCACACAAATTGCTGCCGTAGCCAACAGTGATGCATTTATGAGGATTCCTGTTGGTGGCGATGTGTTAGCGGCAGTATATCATAACACAATGCTATCTTCTTGAAACGCAACAAGTATTTTCTTTCTCCGCGGCGCTAATAGGGTTCCGTACCAATGAATGAACGACTTTTTTTTTTTTTTAGATCGTGCGCAGACTAAGTAACCCATCACCTAGTAACTCCCAAACGGGCTAGGTGAGTCAAGTGGCCTGCCCTGGTATATAACCTTTCCGATGACTGATGACGACAGCTGAACAGCGGTGATCGTCATACCTACCACACCTGAGGCGAGGTCGGCCGAGGACTCTCGCGGTGCCAGTCTTAGTGGGGAGACATTTCTCCTCCTGATGGAGCAGGGGAGTCGGTTCATGTCAGGCCAGTGTTTCTCTCTTCTGAGGCTTGGATAATTTCGGTGACCCCTAGCTGCGGTTCTGCCGCTGGGGAAAGACCTGTTAGGTTACACTACTGGAAAGTTTCCTGGTGCTCTGGCTCTACAGAGCGAGGGGGGGTCCACTGTACTACCCCCTTACCTCCCAAACAAACTCTGAGGTGCTGTCTGTGTGGAGTCTGCATGCTCTCCACATGTTCCCATGGGTTTCCTCCCACAGTCCAAAGACATGCTTACTTGCTGGTGTTGTAATTGGATTCTGGGGGTGATTAAACCTGGTGGGAGTGCGTGTGTCCTGTGATGGACTGGCGTCCTGTCCAAGATGTACCCTGCCTTGTGCCCACTGCTTGCTGGGATAGGACTGGGCTCTCCCTCAACCCTGAACTGGAAGAAGCGGATGAGAAAATGAACGGATGATCATGGAGCACGTGTCTGACCCGCGGATTGCCTGCGATTAATTCTCAGGGGATGAAAGAGGGCGTTCCGTTTGCTGCCCCTGTGTCGCCTCGATCAATTGCTGGAAGTGACTCACGCCATGGTGACCGTTTGTGGGCTGGGCATCGTGAAAGCGGACCTCGTCCTGCTGGGTCTTTATCCCGGAGCTCGTGCTGCCTTGAATTCCTGCGGTTCTGGGAAGGGTTGTGGTGGCTTTATCGACTGCTGTCCGAAAGTCCAGATACACTGACTGTCGCATCAGGACAGAAAAGGGGTCACAAACTAGAGGAGCCAATCAGCCCACCTGGGCCGTTTGGAAACTGATCAGTGGATCTCATCCACCTGTTTCTTGAAAGAAGCCCCCGCTTTGACAGCACGGCTGGGCAGCTTGTTCCACACCCCTACAAGCCTTTGTGTAAAGTAATGCCCCCCAGTCCGGATTGGAAGAGCTTATCCACCCGTTTCTTGAAAGAAGCCCTGGTATCAGCTTTGACAGCACGGCTGGGCAGCTTGTTCCACACCCCTACCAGCCTTTGTGTAAAGTAATGCCTCCAGTGCTGATTGAAAGCTCTCCAGAAGCTTTTTCTTGAACCGTGTCCCAAGGTGACCAGGGGTCAGGACTCATGACTCATTTCCAGTGTGACCAGCTGTTAGGGGTCAGGATAAAGGCTCAGTGTGGCCAGAGGTCAGATGTCAGGGTCAGGGGTCACTCTCAGCCCCACCAGTGCTGGCGACATGACTAACCAGAATCAAATGGGCAGGAGGAGGCACCTCCTGTAACCTTGTGACCTGTCTTCTGTTTTGAAAGGTGCTGTCCTAGGGGCAGGTGATGGCTGACCCCACACCAGCGGGGGGCCGGCTCCGGCTCCGGCGATGGAAGCCGAGACTAATCGAGGTGCTGAGCTCAGACCCTGACTTCGTCCTGCAGCACGCCCAAGCCCTGTCCCTGCTGTCCGACCAGGAATACCGGCGGATCAAAGCCCTCGGCGACCCCTCGGAGAAGGTCAGGGACCTGCTGGACTGCGTGCTCGATAAAGGCCAGGCCCCCTGCTCGCGCCTCGTGGAGCTGCTGCAGGACCGGAGCGTGCAGGACACGTATCCCAGACTGTCCTTCCTCACTGAGGAGCCGGAGGAGGAGCAGCTGGGGGCAGGTAGGCACGCCCTTTCACCCCACATATCGCAGTCTGCGTCTCCACTGACCACAGGGTGACGGTCTGCCTATGTGGGTTGTTGGCCAGGCTCCTGTAAATTACACTCTGCCATTAGCAGGCCTCTGCTCACCGGACACTTACAACCTTTAGAAGTCTCCAACAAGGCTGTGCAACACGTGACCTCCAGATGAATTTCTAAGAAGACGACAGAGGAAATACACCACACAGGGTGGCAGCTCTGGGGCCCGGGGTTCAATTCCTGGAGTGCTGTCTGTGTGGAGTTTGCATGTTCTCCCTGTGTTCACCTGGGTTTCCTCCCCCAGTATAAAGTCATACTGGTAGGTTAATTGTCTAGGAAAACTGGCCCTGGTTCAAGGGTGTGTGTCTGTCCTGTGATGGACTGGCGTCCTGTCCAGGTCTATTCTGCCTCATGCTCATTACTTGTTGGGATAGGCCCCAGCTCCCCCCTGACGCTGAATTGAATTGACCCTGAATTAGTTAGAAAATGGATGGATGCATAAAACAACTAATAATAAAACAATTAAGAGCACCTGTATGAGTAATCAGTTATACTAGACTTTTCAAAACTCAACAGGAGTCACAAAGTCTGCTGGTGAATCAGCTCATTTCACCCTTGTGTTCTGGAGAGCAGGAATAACTCTGAACTAAATACAAGTAAGACCTCTGGAACTGATGGTTTAAAACTCTTTCAGCTGCCTGAAGGGACAAGTCAAGTTTTATGTGAGTCAAAAACCATGTATACATATTTTTACAGTGCAGACAAAAGCCCAGCTGAAAAGGAAAATTGAAGAGGTGACTTCCGGCGCGGAGGAGAAGCCAGGGGATGGTGAGTCCACCTTGACTGAGGAGATCTGGGTGATGGGAGGGGTTCGCAGACGTCGGCCGGTGCTGACCGGCCCAGAGCGAGTTTCGCTGTGCTGAGAGGCTCTGTAGAGAGGCGAGTGTCCAATTGCATTAAATCTCTTATCCCTGCTCTGCTTTTTCCAACTGTTTTTCAACTATGGAGTTTTGCTTCCACCTAGTGGAGACCTTTCAGTGTAGCGCCTAGTAAATCATGATAGTATCCTCAATATCGGAGCACAGCTTCCCAGAATCTTCTGGCTGGGCAGCCCCTCTCTTTTCTTCCCATTGGCCAGGGGTGCAACCACAATTCAGACTGATGTCCACTGAAGGTAGGGATGAATATCCTGGAGCTGTCCTCTGCTACACCGATCTCTGGGAACATCCCAACCCTGACCCCTGCTTCTTTAACAAAGCCTTTATCCCCAGCCCTTTATCAGCACCCTTAACCCTAACCCCTG